GTTATCATTCCAACAGAGTCACATCCGACTCTGATTCAGACTCGTATGAGGTCTTCACTGTGGATTCAAATCAAGGTGAAGGTGGGAAGAAGAGCAGCTGTAGATCTGGGACTCACAGCATCATTCTGGATGTCTCAGTGACCAGCTCTATGGACACAGTTGCTGTGAAGACACTAAAAAATGTACGTCTGTATCTGGATTTCCTTCTTGGGTGAAGAGCAGCAAACGTTGAATAAAGTTTTGTTCTTATTTCAGATTTTCAGTGACTTTGGGGACGTTGGTGTGACCATCTATCTAGCTGGCTGTCAAGGTAAAGCCACCCACAGACAAAACAGAGACAGAAGTGATGTGAATACAAAATCAAGGCATTAGTTTTTGATAGTGAATGCATCGAGGTCTCAGCCTGTGAGGCGCCACATTGTTCCGGATGGTGCATAAAAGTCAAGCAGAAATATATCAGGATGATATGCGTTCCCTATGATGGTCAGCTGAATTATCGTAATTGTGCAAAGTACAACAAAATTCAGTTCTTACCTAATCAGTGCATTAAAAAAGCAAAAACAAACACAACAAAAAACAACCTAAAAACAGATGAGTACATAACACACACATAAACACAAGCAGTCTTTTAAAGTCATCAACACTGCTCTGTCTTTATGTGCTGTAAACACAGCCTGTGTGGTGGAGCAAATGGAAAGGGCAAACTTCTTCTCCGAGTCCGTCCCCAAGAGCTGTTTGTTTGTGTCGGTTCATGATGCAGTTCTTCACATTTTCAAGAAACTGGGACAGGAGGACAACGATTTTGTGAGTGAATCACACTGCAGAGGCATTAAATGATAGCTTTTTGCTACAAATAAATTTTCTTTTCTTTTTTTTTTTTCTTTTTTTTCCAAGGTCTGATTTGTCCATTTCTCTTATTTCAGGATGTTTCTTGTGTTACCCAAATGTGACCAGGAGGGGTCGCATTTTTTCAATTCACGCAGTCTTCAACCTCTCCTCCCCCTTTGCATGTTTCACCGCTTTCCATTGGCTGCCACTGTCTCCTCCCCTCTCATTCACCAGGAGAGAATGCGCCACCTTGACATGGCGGCCGGTTGCCAGGGAAACACAGGGATCTGTTGCCTTGGCGACCAGCTTTTTATGATATGGTATAATGAGATGGCCAGGAATACGTCACTGCGGCTCTCTTGCTGTGTGGTGTGGAGTGTTTGAGATGGCGGAGGGTGGGGGATGAGTGGGAGAATGTAACGCAGGACTAATGAGAGTCTGTATTTATGGCATCCATGAGAGGGAGCAGAGAACGACTGGAAGGCTGGGGCTAAAGGGAAACTTATGGTGTGTGCATATTCACCACCAGTCTACACTTTTGAAAAGGAAAGTATAACATCTGCCTGTCATTTGTGACTAATGTGACCACAAAAAAAGCGTACTTGCTGTTACATTCAAACACAGGGGCAGCTTTACTCAAACAAATGGATGGACTTATATCAATATTCGCAAGTCAGAGTAGTCATAACGGTTAGCTTATTTCCATAAACTGCTAATTTTGAACTTGCCAAGAGTTAGCTAGCTCTTGGCTAGCTCCAGGCCAGAATAGATGTTCTGGCCTTTTCTAACTTTTTTTTTTCTATTTATTTTTGAAGATGTTTTGTTAGGTGCAAGCCTACTTTTAAAATACTGGTGCACTAATCAGACAAGCAAAACAATATGACTTCCTTGCCACACCAATAAGATGAATGATCAACTTGCAGAAAACGTTAATGACTCACAGATTTAATTTGTTCTTTTCATGCAGCTGCAAAGGTAATAAAAGGATAGTGCTGACTGTTCTGAAATGGGGTCTTTTGGATCTGTTACCAGGCAGTATCTTACTTGCAGTTGTTTCAATGTGGATTTCCTGTCATGTTTGCATGGTATGTTTATCTACCTCCAAACTTTAAATATCCATAGATAGTGATTATTGAGAATAGTGACAAAACAGGTCCTATGGATAAAGCACAAAATGTGAATAAAATATACACAAAATATTATTTTTTTCAAATATCTGACTAAACTAACCTGGGTCATGTGAGCACAACAATGTATATTTTCCAGGTATTTGCTGAATATTTTTTTATTTTAAACATTGTAGTCGGTGGATGATGCCTGTAAAATCCCTGGTCCAGGAGCAGAACTCAATACATTATAATAGTTTAAAACAATTAAAGGAATACTAAAATGATATATTATGACAATTAAGTATAAGTATTCATATAAATAATAAAAGTATCAATAAATTGAATTAAAAATCATTTTTATATATTTTCCAACTCCATTGAAATTTGTCCCAAGTTTCTGTCAACACCGTCAGAAATGAAAAGAATGTAAAAAAAAATAAAAAAAAAATCAGGCATTATTGGGGGCACCAGAACTTCTGAGGACCCCATGACGTCGTCTTTTTTCTTCCTTTGCTAAGAGGGCTAGTTAGCTCCGGTTAGCTTAAGTTATTCTTTAGTTTTTTCTTCTGTTTTATTCCTAAGTTGCTTGTCACAACCATGATGAGTCAATTCCATAACTGACAATTTACAAAACTTTGATGAAATTTTGTGAAATAAAAGCTTGATTTTGGTATACTGTAAAGATTTCATGGACCTGATGAGCTACAATATGGCCTCCTTCAGAATAATATATAAATTGAGGTAGTTTGGCTTTTCGTCAACTCCGTCAGAGTTTTTGACTTTCAGTGAAATTGTTGACAAATCTCACTTACATGTGCAATTAATTCATTTTAATGTATTTTACGTAAATTGCATTACTTCACATGTACCAAGTTTTTCATTTTATTCACTAGTTTGTCATCACCTTCAGTTCTGTCAACTCCGTCATGCACTGTCAACTCCGTCAGATGGACTTTTTTGTTGTTTTTTGTTTTAAATATTTCTTTTGTTTCTTGAGAAGCATTTGTCTGTAAAATGAGTAAAAATATCACTAATAGAGTATTTTAAAAATCATTTTATATTTATTTTGTCAGATGGTGATGACAAAGTTCTAGGCCAGGTCGATAAAAAATTTAATTTTTAAAAAAATGTTGCAACTGGAAGCCTGCACCTTAGCATCTTTACATTTCCTAAACATTATTTGTCATATTTGCATACATAAGGTTGAGAAATAACTAAATAAAATTATGGGAAAATTAAAACCCATTTTGTCCCTATTCTCAAGAATCACTGATAGACATATTTTTAATTGACATTTAAAGTCAAATAGTTTATTCTTTTATATATATATATATATATATATATATATATTTATATATATATATATATATATATATAAGGAAAATAACATTTTTGTAATTCCATGGGTATCTCTTCAAAACATGCATTTTTGAAGAGAAAGAGAAACACCTTTTTATTTTTCGCACTTTTGATCAAGTTTAGCAACTTTTTAACATTTAAACTCGAAATCCATTTTTATGTAAACATAATACCAAGTACACTTTTTAACATTTTTGTGTTTTTCATTAACAATCTTTTCTGTCTTTTCAATGACAGGTTGATGTTAGAGGTTGCAGTTAATTAAAAGATAGATCAGGCATTTTAATGTACTTTTTTCTCTAACAATATCACTTGGATTTGCCACTTTTTAAATATAATTTATGTAATAGGTATGAATGATAATGAATTTATTATATTATCTCCAAGTAAATGGATGGAAAAATGTCACTGATCCATAAAATATACATGAATAGATTTATTTTAGTACTCATCAAATTCTGGAGAATGTTTCAGTTCATAAATATTTCTGTTGAAAACATTAAAGACATATTTTTAGTCAGAATTGGTTTAAATAACTTTATTTCCTGTTGCCACATTAAAAGACCTTGTATTCTATGGAAATGTTGCTTCTTAGGATGGGTGTCTAATCATCTTAGATTTTAGATGGTAGAAGAAAATTAGAGGATTCGATACTGGAGCTTCTGAAGGAAAATACCAACCTTGTTAAACCGGTAGACGCCCAGGAAAATGACGTGTTTGACATCGCAGGGCTCATATTCCACTGAACTCCACTTCCAAACTACCCCATTCAGACATTTGAGATAATTGAACCAAGAAGTTGTGCTTCCTGTGTATTGTGTGTGTATATATTGTACATTTTAGTGAGTGAAAACAAAGAAATAAAGACCCTTAACAACACAGTACATGTCTTCATCTGATCGTTTATTGCTTCTCTCTGTTCCATCCCAACAACTCTCTCTCGTGCTTGGTACACAGCTCAGTTGGATGTTCCTCTCTTCTCTAAACATGTTAATAATCCTCATTAATCTCCCCCCCCCAAAAAAATAACACTAATTCACAACACTACAATACACAAGATACTTAAGTTAGTTTATAATACACAGCTGGAAATGGTGAGGCATTGTCTTGTTGTGATTATATATATTTTCTTTCTTTTCATTTATTTTTTTATTTTTTAAAACAAATGGAAGTCATTTTTAGTACACTTAATGAAGTGAATACAGCTGGCAGAAATTACTGTCCATAGGCAATGTGACATGTAATTGAAGGTAACACTGCCATGGTCCAACACACACACACACACACGCACGCACGCATACGCGTGCACACACACACACACACACACACTCCCTTACATACACATGCAAATGCCCACGCACGTACAGATACACAGGGCATGGGCACACATGCAGCTACATGCATACACACTACGACGATGGGATTTCACTAGCAGACATGATGAGAGCTCATCTCGACAGTTTTAACCAGAGGTTTCTCCTCATGTGAAACAAAATGCCTCGCTGACTGAGGGCCGGCTGAGGCTTTATATATACTGACAGAAAGGTGCAGAGAGGGGAGACACTGCAGCTATGGCAGACACGATAACACCCACAATACGAGAAGGGGACGAGACAGCACGAAGGCAGGAGGACGGAGGGACAGACAGAGAGCAGGAAGCCAGCGAGGTAGAGTGAAAGAAACAGAGCAGAGGGCGTGACTTCATGAATGCAGGTGTGTTTCAGTTCTTCTCCAGTGTTTTCTTTGGTCCATTTGCCCAGGATCTTTTTTTTTTTTCTTTTCTTTTTTTTCCTTTTTGTACGTTTTAAAAATTGTAGAGTGTTTTACTGATTTGTGTTTAGTTCAGACAAGGCCAATGTAGCGTTTGTGCATGTTTTGGTGGACATGTGTTGCTGAGATCAAAGCTCAGGTCGTCAAATTACACTCTCAAAGAGGAGGGTGCTCTTCGTCTCTGCAGCGGGCAGCAGCTTGGCCTCGCTTTCTGGCGCCAAGTACTCCAGGTGGTGTCTGCCCCAGATGGGGGTAGTTAGGTTTTGCCACCGCTGCAGGAGGGAAAGACAATAAAAACACGACAAGCTCTGAGTCAGGAAAATGTTCAAGCTTGTTGTATGTCCAAAGAGCCAGAATTATTCAAATGTATCATTAACTGAAAGTCCCAAAAAAAGATAATCTCACCTCCCGCAGAGGTCCTTTGCATCGCAGCAGCTTGTAGAGAACAGTAAGAGGAATACAGAGCATAGAAGAAAGAGCCAGTGCCCACCCAAGTGCTTCTCCCCATACAGGGTAGGTGTACACCGTGTTGTAGGTGAGAGGTTGGTAGTTCACCACGTGGAAGAGGAACACTGCCTGCATAAACACATGAAACCCCATTAGGTTAATACAAACCGGCAAAGTCAAATAGAAAGGGTCCAAAGCCTCGCATACCACGCAGACAAAAGGCGTGATGTAGGACCAGCACCACTTCATGTAGGGTAAGGGCTGATAGCCAATCATACGAGCCACGTCATCCATGAAACGGTCTGCGCCTGAGAAGGGGGACACGAGGACGTTGTTTTGAACCGGCCAGCTGCGTAGTTTCTGTTGAGTCTGCTGCAAGGAATTAACTCACCATAAACCCATGCGATCACAACACACTCCCAGAAGGCCTGCCACAGCAAAGTCATGCCGCTGGCGGAGTAGTAGTCAAAAATTTGGAACACATACATCCCTCCCTGACGGAAAACAGAAAGAGCATTCAGAATCTATTCACTGAATTACTTCATTTACTTTTATCCAGTACATTATTAATCTGCTCTTAATATTTTAATGAAACTTTATGATGACCTTTTAATGTAACTTTCTTACCATCACAGTAAGTTATGATAAAAAATAAATAAATTTAAAAAAAAATACATTCAAAACCCTTTCTGTACCTCTGTGACCATGGACAAGTCAATAAGGAAGCAGATGATGCAGCAGATGGCAGCAACTACTTCTCGTCTCAATGAGGAAAGGGCAGATTTAGGAGGCAGCATGTCCATGAGTCCTGTTATCAGGCCTTCCACCCCTACGAACTGAACAGTAGAGAAGATAGGAGAAAAGTTCACGAGAATCTAGTAGACAACACAGTGGCATAGAGGAGTTTGGAAGTTTTCTATGTTATTACTTGTGGAAGGCATTCATCAGATAATGATATCAGAAAGTTATAATTTCAAAACTGCTAAAAAAGTTCTGACTCTCCCCACAAAGGAAGGGCTGAAGTGACTGGAGCGTTCGCTGGCCGTACTTTTCCCCTCACTTGCAAAGAAAAACAGGCAAATAAAGCTGACTGAAAATATCTCCAGTCCAAAAGAACAGATACATTCATGGTGTGGAAACTAAATGAGCCACCCATCACTCTCAAGGTAAAACTACAGTCTCTTTAAAGCCCACAAATAGCTCTATCCAAGAAAACAGCTTGAGTAATTAGCCAGCTGTTATCCCTGTGTTCAGAGCCACGGCTGCTTCAATACACAAACAGCAAAAGACAACAGGCTAAATTTAAAGGTTGTTTATTGAAGGTTTTCACTTTGTATATATTTTTATGGCTTTTAGTTCCAGTTGAGCAGAATATTTTAGCTTACTGATCAACAACTGGGTTTTATTTTATTCATGCCAATAGTTATTTTGTCTGGCTATGTTTCACTGCTTTCATTATCTTTTTGTAGTTTGCATGTTTTACTGATTCGTTTACAGCAATTAGTCACTTATTCTTTTAAATGTAAGGTAGCGCGGAGTACCTTTTACTAACAATCCAAACCCAAAATACAATAATTAAATATTATATTGTGTTATAAAAGCACCATAAGCAACAGCAGGAATAAAAACAGCTTTTCTGAATTACGTAAAATCAATTAGATTGTGATATATCTTGTTCACATTTTTTATGCATAAAGCGCTTTTTTAAATGACGTTACAGCACTATTTAATAAACTTCAGGAGAAATTAGTAAGAATCTCAAACCAGCCCATGCCTGTCTGGAAGCAACAACATCAGGTTCAGACTCAAAGCATCTTTTTTTTTTTTCTTTAATCAAGAAGTTAATATGAAGTGTTACAGCGAACACCCAGTTCTTTGTTTCGAACAGACTGCTGCATGAATCCGCTCACTGCTCAGTGTTCCCGTCAAACCGCAGATGTTCAATCTAACTGAAAAAGTGCTTTATACACTGGAGATTTGAATGGCATCCCTTTCCAGTCTCCTCGCGCAACAATGTATTTATGGACGCTTGCAGGAAAATAGTTTGGCTTTCAAAATAGAACATCAAACTTGCAGCACGTTCTTGGGCAACGTGGCATTGGCAGACGGAGAAAGAGAAAACTAAAACAAAAGGACAAGAAATGAGGACAAGAATGGAAAGTGAGAGTAAGTGAATGGGTCTGAGAGCAGACAGACACTCTCTGTGTGAATCAGACAGAAGTTTCATTGAGAAATCTCCGGGCTGCTAGACAATAGATGTAGGCCTTGGCTCAAACAGGAACATAGCAAAGAGGGTGCAAAGAAACGCCGTAGATGTGGTGTGTTTAAGTCGTTTGTATGAAAGGAAGTGAGTCAGAAAAAGGCAGAAGATAAAAAAAAGTGCCTGAGCTACATTGTGGATGAATGATTGTAATACCCAAATCATATTCATGCATGTTTTTGTGCGTTTGGGGATGCACTTGAACCAATTTTTTTCAGGGTGAAATTATTATACAAAACACAACCTCAATTCATTTCTCATATGTTTTTGAATTTTTTTAGATTAGGGAATGATGTTCTGAGATCTTTTAGCCAACTTTAAGCTGAAAGGGATTTCTTGATTCTGCAGGTCAACCAGTAATCAGGTTTCATAACTTAATAATGGATATGGTGTCACTTGGGCCAGGTTAGTCTAGATATATTTATACTAAATCATCATTTCAAACATGTATCTTTTAACCTTAGTTATTATTGTCTGATACTGAAGTACTCATCATTTGAAACCTTTAACTGTGGATATAAAAGGAGAATCAGAATAAATTTGTAAGAGGATAAAAGCTTTTTGTCACCACAACATAGACATCTTTGACTGTATAATTTAGCAGTCACATAATTGTGTGAATTGGAGAAAAACTGGAGAAAATGCACTGTTAAATTAACAGTGAATTGTGAATTGACACCCAGTTTTTGTTTTTAAAACTCACTGAAGCTGAATGTTTCCAATAATTCCACCCTGGATCAAGAATAGCTTAAAGTCTTCCTTAAAGTCGCAGAATTACTACGACAATTATACATGTGGTGCATTTGTGCAAACGTTTCAAACTGGATGCACTTTAAATTTAAATAGAGTCGCAGTGTCAGGATAAGACGTTGAACTCAGTTCCCTCTGAGCTAACGTCTTTCGCCAAGGTCAAGTCTCAGCATTACCTGACTGTCCAGGCCCAGTACTAGTAACATGAAGAAAAACAGCGCTGCCCAAAGCGGTGCCAGAGGCATCAGAGTCACAGCCTTGGGGTAGGCTATGAAAGCCAGGCCTGGGCCTGCACACAGAGAAACACAGTTAGAATGACAAAACCCTTCGATACTGAGAGTGACTCACAACTGATGAGGTGGACTCACCACTCTCAGCCACCTTACTGATGTCCACTCCCTGTTCTGCAGCCATGAAGCCCAGAGCAGAGAACACAACGAAGCCAGCAAAAAAACTGGTTCCACTGTTGATAAGAGCCAGGACAAATGCATCCCTGCAGGGAAACGCAAAAAAAGCAAAAAAACAAAAAAAAACAAATCAAAACAACAATTACACAAAGAAAAAAAAAACATGTGGGGAAAATATGTCAGAGCATATGACGTAACGTAGGCTTATGTAACACACTCAAGACAGACCCAAGCAAAGAGGAGACAGCCTGGGTAAATTAGAGATCAATAGCAATTTCTCTGAAATACATAGCTGTCTTAGATGGCATGTAGCAAGGAGAGCTAATGCCTCCGACTGCCAGATAAGTTGCACTTCAAATCTATATTTCTAGTTTGTGTGCTATTAGAAGCAGTCATGTGAGTTAAGTGACTCATGCTGGAGTATGCTCTCTGTTGGAAACACTGAGGTACACTTCGGAATATAAAAAAACGTGTCTGTTTTTGGACTTCTACGCAACTATAAGTCCAACTGTATTGGGGTCTACAGTAGCACAACTCCACTCAGATATGAGGAATGTATAAACAACATCTGCACTGGTTGCTGTAATATTGTTTCATGGTAATGTTCATGAGCACCCTCCTCTATCTATGGGAAAATGTCAACAGCCTCTAGGAATCAATTTTCCTTCCCCAGTGCTTTTTTTTTTTTTTGCTCTTTCCACAAGCGCTTCTGTGACTTTTTCCTGTAAACAAACAGAAGCAAACACCTTGAATCCCTCTGAGTAGAGACTGCCTGAGAATGTGTGCCGTAATCCCGATTTATTACAGCACAGCATTCAAACAAGGACGAAAGAAAATTCTTTGAAACCAAATGGAGCTCAGTTCAGGGAAATTGATTGCTTTATTTCTTATTAACGAAAAGACGGCATTAAAATAGTTTGAACAGCAGCTGCCTTCCAGTCATTACGGCTAATGTGTTCATTTTCAAGGTACCCTGACAAATGGTTCCGAACAACACTGTTAACAGGTCGATAGAGCGTTATTTTTGAAGCACCATGGCAAACATACCATTAAAGGAAGCTGTTGCGTGGAAAGGCATGTGTACCTATTGAACTTTTTCACATTATGCCCTATTGCAATTAGGGATTGCAGTGTCCTTCATGGCAATTTGATGTGACAGAACAAGACAGAGCAGTGCATAATTGTGAAGAGGAAGAAAGTTTCTTCAAATTTCTTTGCATTATATTTAGCTGACTTTTCATAAAGGAAATCCTGTGCAACCAACTGCTTTCAGAAATCACTCAAATAGCAAACATACATTAGTTGTGAGTAAGAATAGACCCAAGTGTCCTTTGAAGACCCCAGGGCTTTGTAAGATAATGTAATGACCTGCATGTATAACTCAGTGTGAGGCAAAAAAAAAAAAAAAAAAGGGCCACTGCTCATCAACCTGAATACATCATTGCCACTGTTAAAACTTGGTAGTGGCAGTATTATGATGTGAGAAAAACATTTACTTTGGGATTGATACAGAGCTGAAGAAAAGATGGATTAAGCTAACTTCAGGATAATCCTTGAACAAAAACCTGTTAGAGGCTCTTAATCACCTGAGATTCAGTTCACCATCCAGCACAAGTAAACTAAACACCGAGCCAGAGCTATAATGCAATGATTTAGACCAAAGTGTATTTGTGCACAAAATAATTGGGGAACGTTTCAGTCTTTACATGTGCAGTGGTGGTGGAGAGATACAAAGACTTGCAGCTGTGATAGCAGCATGAGGTGATTCTACACTCGATGGAGTCAGGAAGGCTAAAAATAAATGCACACCACAGTTTTTTCATTTCTATCCGTAAACGTGACAAAAAAAAACATATTTATTTTTCTTTCATTACTATTCACCTTTATTTGCATTGTTTAGTTGACATCACAATAAATACTATAAAGTTTGTTATTGTAAAGTGAAAAATGTGAAAAAGTTCAACGCAGATAGAAAAGTTTTCGAAAACACTGCGTTTCCTGACCTGTTGCATGTGTGAGAGCTAACATTTACCATAACAGAACATGATCTTGTAACTTCCAACTACAGTTAAAGAAGAAAAGAAAATGTCTACCAGCAAAATATTTATGAAATCCCTTTTTTATGAGCATTCCAAATGTGCAGGCTGTGTTGTGAGATTTACCTCAGAGGTCCACACTACTATTCCAGAATTATGCAACTATTGCTCAATGTCACAAACGTTGCTGAAACATGTGACAGCGCATGCAGCAAACCAAAATGAAGCCATATTTGGACAGAACTTTACGCACACTTTCAGGAAAACTATAGGAGAAATATTCTTTAAGTTGGAGCAGTCTGCCCAGAAGCATTTTACATTTCATTTATTCTTCGAACGCATTACCAAGTTTAGTATTTATAACACCCATAGAACAGTGAACACATTACGTAATAAGACATTGGAAGACCAAATGAGAGTGAATTGGGAGGAAAAGTAAGGTCATCACTTCTTTTTCAAAGTGTCCTCTTTTCAGAATCAGCGGTGTCTGGATTTTATGCCGTGTAAAAACTCACTGGTAACAGTTGTTATGGAAGCGGTTGTAGCTGCCCAGTGCAGTTAGGGCACCAAGTCCGATGGCATAGGAGAAGAAAATCTGAGTGCCAGCATCAATCCACACCTATCATGGAAAATTAAAAGACTATTTCCAACGATCCTGATCCATTCATTAAAAAGTCTGTGTTTGTTCAAACTCTTTTATATTACTTGGTTTCTGGACAGTAAAACAGAAAAAAGCGTGTAATGGAAGAATGTTACCTGTGCTTCTCCCAGTTTGGACCAGTCTGGTTTTAGGTAGTAAACAATTCCATCCAGAGCTCCAGGTAGGGTGACTCCATGAGCCAGAAGAACCACCAGAACCAAGTAGGGGAACAGAGCTGTGAAGTACACAACCTAAACAAATCGCACATAAAAAAAGAAAAAGAGCTTCAGGTGCACTTCTTTACAATCTGACACTAATTGATTTTTTGATTGCTGATGTGCAAGGAAGTCCTAATACTACATGACTTTGATTAGTACTTAGGTGTAGCTTGTCGAACAATATTTTATTTAGAGATGCCCAAGAAAAGGAGGCTAACTGCAAATAAACAGCACACTTTTCTCAGCGGTTAAACAATGTTCTATTATCTATCCACTTCATTATGTTGCTCTAGTACTAAAAGATTTCAGCATGGCAAAATGTGGAAATATTTAAAGGTTTTGAAAACTTTTGAAACTTAAAAAAAATATAAAGGATAGAGTTAATTTGGTTAAATTCCTCTGAGCTATTGTAGAATGGTTCTTGTCACTTCGACTGGGTGATTACCTGCTTTTGCAAATACCCAAGGCACAAGCAGAAGCAGATTATGCACTTCCTTTAGGAGATATGTAAGGGACTCTGGCGGGTTACTGAGAAGAAAAGGTGGCCTGTTGACGGAAACCCAGAAAACATGGACACTCCCTGCAACAGTGGGTGTTTCGGTACACCTTTTCTGAAAGTTCTCTGTGTCAAGTTATTATAAGGAGGCCGCTCCCAGTCACCATGTAAAAGCGTGAGTCTGGTGGAAGTAAAATAGTGAAAGAGCACAGTTTGTCTTGGTCTGAGGTAAACATGGGCAGGAAAAGCCCCCTTTGAGCTTGCAAACATGTACATAGTGGAAAGGCAATAAGCAGCTTACAGCAGGTCGGTTCAATCTGATTCATTATTATTTTTACTCTCCCTCTATAGGCTTTAGCTGCTGTGGGAGTCACAAGAATTTACATTTCTACATGTTACAAAATGAAGATTTATGGCCACGTTTTGAAGAAAATAAAAACAAGAAGTAGCTAAGTGTTTGCTCAGATTACATTCTAAGAAATACTTGGGGATCATCAAATGACTTTCAGAAATAGGGAAGCATTCTAAGGAAGTTCTTTCATTTCAGTCCAGAGCCCTCCTCTATGCTAAAGCTGATTTGGAGCTGAGAAGGGAAAAAAAACGCTGCAGTTACTTTCCCTTTCGCATTCCCAGCAAATGTTTGTGTGCGCCTGTCATACAGCCTGCCAATGAGGCTATAAATAATAATCTGGTTTATGTAAACCTAAATAATGACGCGTGATGCTAGGTAGGTGTTAGCATTTTGCCTCTACATAAGACATTACCTTGCCAGTAGATTTCACTCCTTTCCATATGCAGAAGTAAACGATGACCCAGGTGGCTATGAGACACAGCACCATCTCATAGCAGATCACGCCGGGTTCATGCAGGCCTCCAGAGAGACGGAGCACTTTACGTCTGGAAAGTGAAAGCAGGAGACTGATTCGGGGCTAAATTAGGCAAATAAACAAAACAGAATGATTTCAAAAGTATATTCACAGCGAAACAACTCAAACACTGTGATTGAACTGAGCTGTGTTTTTCCAAATCAAATCACTAGTTTGGCTTGCAAATTGAGAAAAACACAGAGACATCAAATATACAAAACGAATTTCAAATGAGGAAACTGTAACTTTGTTCATGTCTTTGTTTGGCTTCAGTTTCTAAATTTCGTCACGCTCAAGTGAGGGATCTAAACCTACTCCCAGAACTCGATGACCGGGGAGCGCAGACCCTCAGCCTCCATGCAGCTGTTATTGATCAGGAGAAGGGAGGTCAGGTTCAGCGGGGGCAGGGTGGACGAGAGGTTGGAGGGGGAGGCAGCAGGCGTCGGCAGAGCGCTGCGGTTGTGGCAGGCGCGTCGGAAGTCCTGTGTGCAGTTGGGGGTGTTCCAAGGGTGTCCGCAGGTGGCCCACGGCAGTGGGTCAGTGAAAGAGTGGAAGAAATAGTAGAGGCCCCACACCAGTATCATGATGTAGTAGGTATTACAGAAAAACACAATCACCATCGATGCTAGTCCCAGACCTAGAGAAGAGAGGAAAGCGTTTGATTCCCTCAGCAGAACTGAGTATCAGACTTCACCAGAGAATTACTGAGAAGTATTTACCCTTAAAAAGCGGAGCGATGTTCCACGCAGAGACTCCTCCTTGCTTCATGAACTGGCCCAGTGCGATCTCCAGGAAGAAGACAGGGATTCCCCCGATGAACACGATCAGCAAGTAGGGGATCAGGAAAACCCCTGAAAAACACAAATTCACGCAGACTATTTAATGCATCTCCTTTTTTCTGTACCGCCCGTTGGTTTTAGGTGCTAAAAGGACCCGCCTGTAACAGTATGTCAATTTGTAGTCACCTTTGGGAAACAAAGCAGTACACTGACCCACAGCTAAGTTCAGTAGTTACCAGAACAATTCATTGTAGCGCAAAGTTCATGTTTTATTTTTTGAGCTTTTAATCTCTGTGTTTTAGTAAACGTGCTGGATTTGGAACTATTTGCAGTCTTTTGGAAACCACAGAGTTAAGTGAGGATCTACATCAGTGCATGTCTGAAGGGCCGAAGTCCTGGAACTTTTAGGCGTCTCTCTGCTTCAGCACATCTGGCTCCAGTATTAGCTCATTAGCAGAGCTCTGTAGAGCCAGACTGCATGCTAGTGAGGAAGGTCTATTGTTTAATCCAAGTGTGAAGGACAAGGGACTCATCTAAAAGTTGCAGGACTCTGCAACCTTGAGATATGCAGTTTGAGACCACTGGTCTACATTATCTAGAGCAGGGGTGCCCAAGTCCAGTCCTCGAGAGCTACCATCCTGCAAGTTTTAGAAATATCCTTACTCCAACAGACCGGGATCAGCTCTACAGAGGCCTGATAACGAGCCATTCATTTGATTCAGGTGTGTTGAAGCAGGGATGCATCTGAAAGTTGCTGGATGGTAGCTCTCGAGGACTGGACTTGGGCACCCCTGATATAGGGAATACATACACAGGAACTTATATTTATAGTTAGCAAAGCTAATCACAAGCATACAATGATAAAGAATGTTTCCAATGTCACATCCAAAATATTCAGTGTTTTTTTTTTTTTTTTTTATGAGCAACACGTCGCTTTAAAGTGTCTGCTCTCATCTCTGTTCCTAATATAATTACATATTGGGAATTCAAAGCAGGAAGGCTAGAAATAAGTATTTTCTTTTGATCGCTGTTAAGTTGCTGAAGATGATAAAGAGAAATTGGAAGTTGGCAGAAACTAGTTTTGGCAGGCCAAAGTTTGGAAAAAAAATGCAACAAGACACCAGTAAGAAATAATTTATTTATGTCTGTATTATTATATATCAGAGATTGGGAAAGTGTTTTCATTTTCTATTCCAAAGAAATACAAATTGTAGGAAAGACAGGCGCATTGGCAGAAACAAAGTCTAATGCTAAATGTAAAAACCAGGTTTAAGGTTTTAGGGACAACTTGGAGTTAAGAGGTAAGAAAAGACAAAATATGTGAAATCCATGGAGGACAGACCAGATGTTCTGTGTGAAATAACCACAATGTCTCCCTTTTTCACAAGTGTTTTTGACACATTAGTAGAGTACGGTATCAGACTTCGACTTGGAAGCTGCAAGGTGACAAGGCAGAAAAAGGAGACGATACGAGGACAATCGACAGGAAGCTGAGTCATGTAGAACTTGGTTGCGCTAATGGCTTTCTGCGTTGTGCTAATCCCTCTTTTTGGATTCTTATACTGCAGCACAAGTGTGAGCTGATCAGCGGAAGGGGGGAGAAACCCACAGAAATGTGGCATGAGCCATTCAAATCACTGAATGGAATTTCAACCACTTGGTTTTGTTAATAACAGAGGCGAGCGATGCCAACATAGTGTGCAGATGGGAGGGAGTCACATGATGGCGATGACGCAGAGCAGAAAGAGGCCGAGAAGAAAGGAGGGAAAGATGGATAGATTACATGAGAGGCAAGCAGGGAACTGGGACAGCGCTACGGAGCTCTGACAGAGAGCAACAAAATAAATATCACACACCGAAGCAACGACTTTGCTCTGTCACTTGACAGCCTCTTTCTTTTTTAAATGCCGTTTCTCTGAGAGAAGGGAGCTCTAGCCAAATAAGGAAACATTTGCAAGTCAAAGAGAGAAAAGGGTTGGGAGAGCAGGAGAGAGAAAGACACAGAAGCCTGCGCTGACATATCTCAACATATTGTTCAAATTATCAAGTCGCAGGCTTCTGACAGGCTTAAATAAATCCTCTGTAATCCTAAGAGGACGAGACACATTGGCTGATTTACAGAGAAACATCTGATTTGTAGGGGATTACTTACATAATTTTACACTGGTTTAGTCTTTTAGTGTTTCACGCAGGTGGCTTTTTTGCTTCATTTACAAACAGGTGTTGGAGGAGACTTTTGCTGTACAACGAAATGTAATTGATCAAGTTGTCGCTGCGCCCTCGAGTTGATCAAGGGCGCAGCGACTGTCGCAGATGAGAACGTGCTGACGCCGAGAGGACGAATGGACGGGCTATTACGTAACACATCCATACGCCTCCCTATGCTGGAAGAGAACACCTCTGTACGCATCAGGACTGCAGCACAGGCGCGCAGGAGGCGCACTGTGTAAGGCTGAGTATTGTTATATGATACCAGTAGGTGGGTATCAGCGTTACTGGTCACAAGACACACACACACACACACACACACGAGGGAGGGCGGTGTTATCACACAATCAGCTTTGTTTCAATGAAGCACCTCGTAAAAAAAAACTGAAAAGTGGGTAGGGCAGCGATAAAGAAAAATCAAGGGCAAAAGTCGTAGTGAGGTGAGGTAACTCTTGGGCAAAGTGACTTACTTTACCAACCTGACATAATCCCGATCGAAGGTGTGATAGGGAAACGAAAGCAGGACAAACGCAGCTGGACTATTTGTTCTAAGCCCAACCGTTAAGTAGCGGCTGGCTATAATAAATAAAGAATCACGTGGAGGCTGAGCTTTAGAGCTACGTGTTCAAAGGCATGCAGGCCTTTCTAGACCTGCCCTTACAGGACTGTGGCTCAACAAACCATACGTACTGTGTGAAGTGCACTTACAGATAAAGCTTCAGTTACTGAGTCTTCTTTTTCATGAAAATCCAATTTGCGTACACAATAGGAAAGTTATATAACCCCACTTTTTGACTTGAAATGGACTAAACCTTCTCTTTACTACAGATCTGGTTACGGTTACCAAAATCATTTCTACTTGCTAAAAGCTTGAATAATGAGCAAGAGATTTGCTTAGCCAATGTATTAAACAACTTTTGATACATATGCTTAGCATTTTCACTGTTTTAGGTATGCCTCTACAAGTATGACATAGACGACATGACATGTATGTAAATCTCTAGTTTTGACAGTATTTTGCCATTAAAATGACTCTAAGTCATTGGACCTACACTTATACTAAAGATTATTGATGCTCTGGGGTCATTTTAGATTAGAAATTATTTTCATTCAACTGAGAAGTTTGTTTCTGTTAGGAAAGGGGGGAAGCATCTCACAAAAGATAATAAAGCCCAACAAAAGCTACATCACTATATAAGAAAAAGTTTTTTATTTGCATTTGAATAAAACAGCATATTGAATTTTTGCATACACTTCCCAAGAATCAGTTGAAAAATCTTTATTTGGTGTTATAGTAAAACCTTCCTAAAACTGGTGACCGGCTTTTTGCATGTTTCTACTGCTCTTTTGATTATTTATCTTTGGTGATGACCTCCAAGTCTTTGAAGCTGGAAGGCCTCCTTGCTATCACCCTAATATTTAGCTCCAGATTCTTTGTCAAAGATAGGATTCCGGCTGGGTCGCCCCAAAACACTCGTATTACTTCCATCTAGAAGAAAAAAGACATTAACCGAACTCCACCAGCGATATGAATAATTCTGGGTGGTTTCACTCTGTTATGGATGTTTTGTTGTACTTGAGAAGCGCTGAAGAGGTCAACATTTGTTTATTTATGTAACAGATCAGGGAAGCATTCAGGGTCTGCATTCAATTCCTTCTTTGTTTATGTCAGTTCCTCACCAACACAAAACAGACGGTTGGCGATTGCAGACACAAAGGAGAAGTCAGGCAGATGGAATTCCAAAATTTTTAAACTCAAACTGATAACGGACCAGATGATCCCACAAGGCTGTGCAAACCAACTGAATACCTACCAAAATAAAGATATTTGAATCACTCCATAGTAAAAAAGAAACTCTGGAACAAACAGAATTGTGTCTAAATCAATTCTAGGGTTTTAAATAATCTACTGTTGAAAGGGTTTTCAATTCACCTTAAGTATTCAGTCGACATACCATAGATTCCACCATGTCAATGCTAATTACAGAAAGATGAAACAAAAATGTTTTCTGTGAAAAGCCTATCACAACCCAAAAATTCAAGAAATGTGTTAAATATGCAAAGCCCCAGAACTCAAAGGGAGTGCACTTTAACTCATAACTGTGGAATGACCTTCAATCCAAATGGTTAACAAGCTAATGTCGAACTCTTATGGAAGAAAGCTATGCAGATCAGATGATGACAAGGCTCATCAGGAATTGTGTTAATTGCACTGAGGAGTTGATTCTCATTAGGGAAACACACGGGGCAGAAACTGCTGAATAAGTTGGTGGAATGCAAGGGCTGCATTTTCCGTGTACAGCACCCAGCTGGACACTTTATCAAAAGTATGACTATCTTTAATCAAAGTGAGTTTAATTTGCATTACTTGTTTCCTTGTGGTTGTATTTCAACTGAACTGAACAGAAAGCACACGTACAAACACTCTGAACGGACCAAACACAGATGGAGATCATGAGGGAAATTTTAACATTTTTAGTTCTACACCTGATCATTTATTAGTTTGAAGTGGATTTACTGATAAAAATGAAAAACAGTCTTTATTTTCCCTTGCAAAGTACTCCTGTAATTCATTGAATATAAACTAATTTTCATTTTAAATAATCAATTTATGTGGAAAAAATACATAAGTCACTACAACATGATATAAATATAAGTGAAACGATTAACAGCGTGATCTAATTTTTTTCTTTCTAGCAGCTGGCCTGTATTTTATATTATACAGCTCTGTGTGGGTGAGAACTCTCAACATGTCATATTAATAATCGGGTAAATTAACTCTGTGTGCTTTCATAAAACACTTTGATAGATACCACATTTAGCTTCCTGATTTTCCTCCTTTAAATGGTCCTAAACCAACTGGAGAAGCATGTGAGCAATCAAATTTTGAAAAGCTTTTTATTCTATAACATTTAATTAGAGATCAGGCCTTCACTGATCTGTGCCAATTTCTGATGTTTTTTTATGTGTGAGTTGACAGTTTTGATTGTGGACGAGTTAAATTTTATTTCTTTTTGAAAGACTGATGTTTAGAGGATATTTTGTCTTCAGATTAACCTAATTTATTAAATGAAAAAAACAAAAAACAAAAAGAAAACCTGCTAATCCTAGAACAAAAAAATGTGCTGTTGGTTTTGTGGTAGATGTAGTGAGAAAATAAAGAAATGACATTATCCTCATTATACATATTTGACCATATGTATAAATGATGCATATGGTCCTAATCATAATCTGATTTTTACATAACTCAGTAACAAAACTTCAACTAACAACCATGTCATTTCTAGACGTGTTTTATAGTGAAAACAGAAATGTGAGTGTCCAGATCTTTTTTGCATAAATGTATTTGACCTGACTCAAAGACTTGCTCATGCCGATTGGTGCAAAAATGTTCAATTAAATTAAATACTATGTAACATCATCCTGTTTTTATGAGCATTTCTAAATCTCAAGCTACTTCAAAGTTTCTGAAAGACAGTGCTGAGCATCAGACATACTCAAGAAAGTCTTACCATGTCTGTATTTTCAGTGTGCATGTCTGTGTGCGCTCAAAGCAGAGACCTAGAGCGGCCTTTGAAGCTCACCTCCTCCGTTCTTGTAGCAGAGATAAGGGAACCGCCACACGTTGCCCAAGCCCACAGCGAATCCCACGCAGGACATGATGAAGTCCATCTGTCTGGTCCAGGTCTCTCGCTCTCCTTCCTGTCCCGCCACAGCCCCGTTCCCAGTCCCTGCTGCGGCCCCGTCCTGGGTCTGCGGCGGACCAGCCCCAACACCCTCTCCACACCCTTGGTCGGCACCAAGCACCGGCACCAGGGGACGAGCTGACCCCCCGCTCTCCTCCTCGGACAGGGCCCCTGCCTCCGTCTGGGAGACACTGATTTCATCTGAACACAGAGAGAGGGGTCAGATGACAAAGGAAAGGGAGATGGGGTGAGGTGAAGCAATGAATGGATCTGAAATGGATCTGTATGAGAGCTAGACCTGAATAAACCAGCAAAGGAGACTGTGACACATTCTACGTCATCACAGATGACCCACTGTCTCTGAGACCACACATACAATGAATGGGAACTAAAGAGGCTTGATTCCCATTCATAAGCACATCTCGTCACAAACCTTCTGTGTCTTGCAATTTTATATTTCGAAGCTACCGGTACTGTGTTGGAGTGCACTGTGATCACTGATCCCTCCCCCGATGTTCATTCTCTGTCTGTGTCTCGCAAGCGGCGTGATTAGTGTGCTGCAGCACACAAGCCCAGCAGAGCCACCTCGGCGCAGCTCCTCTGTTACTCATAAAGCTTTTGTTTCCTCTGTTTTACATAGCCCACTAAATAAGGGTGAGGCCACGTCACTTTTCACCAGTGGCATTCCAGGATATGAGGAGTCAGACGCCCTGAGATGGATGCAAAGCGGGGCAGATGAATCCAGATCGGAGCAGTTTAAAGGGTGTGTGTGCGCGTGTGTATACGGATGAGGAGGGAGGAACAAATTGGGAGAAATTATTCAGGCATCAGCGTGGAAAGACGATGTCTTTGGTTTGAGATGATTCATGTGAGGAAGAGCTGCGTGGCGTATTGTTAATTAAAAATAAATCAGCAGCCTGGTGGAGAAAACAAAGAGACATAATATATATATATATATATATATATATATATATATATATATATATGTATATATATATATATATATATATATATATATATATATATATATATATATATATATATAGATCAGCCTTACCAAGCTGAGGAACAAAGTACACAGGATTTTCATTGGAAATAAAGTGAATTCTCCTTTCAGAGGGTAACTGTTCAGTTTCAGTGTGACTGGAGGCTGCATGTGCCATATTTATTGTCATGTCTCATGATGCATTAAGCAATAAAGGCAGAAGCTGGTAGAGTTCAGCTGTTGTGTCTGATCCCTGGTGAATAACGTGAAAACAGCGATGCATTCATTTATCTAAAGGTGTTGAAATGTCTGCTAAATGTTTAATCAGCTGTAAAGTTAAAAATAACATTAAACAGGATATCCATGCAACCCTTACCTTGGCTGTTCTCTTCCAGCTCTGGTGACATGTTAAGTGAAGAAAGAAGCTGGTTGTTTTTGTTATGGCAGAGGGAAGCTTTCAAGTTTTTTAAGAATATCTGTTTGTTTGAAAAAAACGTACCCGGCTGGCTCAGAGGGGGAGACAGAGAGATGTAGCCACAATGTAGGCTACACTGCTCCAATTGTTCTTGTTGTTATTTGAGTTTGTTATTTCTTCTCTCTGAAATAATAAAAAAAAAAAGATTCTGTTTTTTTTTTAAATATCACACGTTGGAACCCCTCAGCTCAGCCGAAAGAGATGGAAAAAATGTCACAAAGCGTCGCGGTCAGTTGAGCCGTTGACAAGGAGGAGATTCAAAAGCAGTCGACGAAGCACTTAAAGGTAAGCCTGAAGAATCTCATGGATAACCCCTTAAATGAAAAATGATACTACGCCTAAGGGGAAATAATTTGTATGATTATTTGATTCAGCAGCTCGGTTAGAAGTCCATAATCCCTGTTCTGCGAGGTGCCGTGGTTCGACGGCTCGGAGAATGTGATCCGCTCCACTCGACGGTCCGTTAGCTGTGGCGGACGCTCTACCCCCGCCTCCTCGTGCTGCCGGCCGACTGACGTGATTGGCTGAGGGGAGTTCCCTGTGCTGTGCGCGCACAGCATCAGCAGCAGCCCTCAGCCACAAAGCGTCACGACAAGGATGCGTTGATTACGTCCTTGACCTGATATCAATGGGAATGATAGCGGATAGGATAAGGACACAGCGCTCTGTCTGATGCCGTCTGGTTTGTTTGTTTGTTTTTAATTCGTCCCATATCTCAAGGCCCCAGGAAATCCGTCTGACATGAACTGGGGTTTTTTAGACTGTATCGAAACCCGTAATCCAGTAAAATCTATCATTGACTACTTTAAAGCTATCTTAAAAATACGCAGAGAGAGGAAAACAACAACCAAAAAACATATAAGTTTTTCTTTGGTCACCCTGCCAAAAGAAGATCTAACCCTGCAAACTCGGTGCAATTATTAGTTTTGTTGTTGTTGTTGTTGTTTATTCTTACATAAATGTTGGAAGAAGGAATGCTGACGTCATTTTTAATGTTTTCCTCCAGATATTTGTGTATTACACATTCAGTGTTTTAGAAAATATTTGAGAAAGAGTGGTAAAAAAAAAAAAAGTGTAACTCTTTGGAAGGTGTCAATCCCATTACATCTGGCATAAAACTAACAGAAGGAAGAACATTATACTAACAGGAAGATGTGATTCTATTGCTATGATCTGGGGATTCTTTGCTGCGTCAATACCTGAAATACTTGTCATAATTGATTACATAAATTATGCTCTTAAGCAGAAAATCCCTAAGTTATCAGTTTGTTGCCATAAGCTCAAGTATACAGTTGGGTTTTGCAGCAAGATAATAAGCTGAACCATTCAGAGGCAATATGCCTGCCTCTGAGCATCTAACAAAACCTCTCAAATCAGTCTTTTGTATTGACTGAGTCAGTCTGGACTTAACTCCAACTGAAATGCTGTGGAAGGACTTTAAATATGATCATGATTCATGATCAAAAGCAATCTAATGAGTCTCAATTAACACAATTCTCCTGGAGACAGTGGATCAAAATTCCTCCACTACACTCTTACATCATGTGCCAAGTTCGACTGGAAAATTGAATCAGTATATTCATAAAGCTTGTCAGCAGAGGGAAGCATCAAGTGTACTAAGATTTCATGGTAGATGGCAGCTCTGTTTTTGGAACATACTGGACCAACAGCAGAATGTGATATGGCTCCCCAACAACTTGAATTCTGTCCTTCACTTTTCCTCCTCCTCCTTACTGTGCTGCCCTGATTTCTTATTTTCATTAGAAAATAGGGCTTCTGAGCAACAGTCCTGTCATTCTTTTTCTTAGCCTGGGTAAGAGGCTTCTGGCATGTGATTCATGAGTGTGACAGTTAAAGCCCATGGATACGTGCGTGTGTGGTAAGTCTTGATGCACTGACTCCATACGCTGTACTTTTAGAATGTCTCTCATATCTTTGACATGGTTTGTTATACAACTTTCCCAAGGCTGCAGTTATTGTTGACATTTTCTGCAAGTTTTTGTTTCACTCAACTTCCCATTCACATTTTTGGACCCAGCATCCAGGAAATGTTTTGAGCAATCACATTTTCTGTGATGCCCTCCTTATTGCAGTTCTGCACTGGACTTTGTAGGTCATAATTTGGATATTAATTAACATTTGATTAATAAAAACATATTTTTGCCTTTGCTTTAAATAGCATCTATTATTTTTCACAATATTTTTGGTTTTCACTTGCTGTCAAAATTTACAAACATGTAAACAAAATATATCAATGTATAACTGATTTATATGCAAGCTTCACTCTATTATTTGAATTAAAATCCATCAACTTTTCAGTGATGCCTTATTTTACTGAGACTGCCTGTATCATCAAAGTTTAGGATGGAGACCAATTCCAGTCTTCACCTCCATTTTAGAAGCCTAAATGATCAGTGAAAGGGTTTGAGTTATAAATGTTGCAAGGGACAAAAATAATGATCTAAAACCAATGTAATGATAGTTAATAATGTTTGTCAAGTGTGATAACCATTTTGACTTATTGCTGACAAACTTAATTGATAGTCGCAGTCCCAAGTATTCTACTGTTAATTTGAGGGACTATCATATGATTGTACAAAAACAGGTGCCGTCCAATTTCAGATTTAACTTTTTAACATTTATAATGTATTAATGACATTAACAATTTTAAGAATCAACTGTCCCAGCTCATGAGATTGAAACATAATTTTTGAGTTGTATTGTAGGAAAGGTCTTATGCAAATATATGTCTGTATAACAGAGGTTAATTAAAAGAGTGACTTTAAATTGTATTAATTGTGGGTTTTAATCTTTGTCTCAGATTCGTGGGACATACTTGATGATGGATGACATCTAGTGGCCAAAATGTGGATCTTCATCATCACAAAAAAAAACAAAAAAAAACAAAAAAAAACAAAAAAAAAACGCTCAAACACCATTAATAAAACACAGCTTTATACAGTTAACATCTCAACACACACAAGTACAATGTGCACACTTACAGATTGGGTGCAATGTCAACCATTTATAAATACCCATGTCTTTAAATAAAATTACTAATTTGTGGTAATAAATAAATAAATAGTCTGAGACAATAAATATATTATTTGTGTGTGGGGGAAAAAAAACACTCAGCAAAACATATCAAAGACGTACATTTGTCTTTTACCTGAAGGACTGTCTGTGTATTATTCTGTCCAGCCCATTTTAATCCTGACTCTTGGTTTCACAGGATGACGACAAAGTCTTATTAAATAACACTTCAGTGCAACAGATCAGTAACTCTGGACATAGATATGAAGAACAGAGCTAAAAGAAAAGATCTGAGAAACATTTTCCCTCAGGAAACACATTCACAGATGAACATTGTGTTAACTTCTAACAAAAGGCTTCACTTTCAAAGCAATAAATAAGAAAATAAATAAGAATAACCTGAAGCAGGGGCAGAAGCCTCACAAACCAAAACAAAATGCACACTAGCTGGCTTAGCTCTTATATTTGACTGCATGTTTTTGCATCTCTCCTCATTTTGTTTAGAAATAGCTATCGCTCTATATCGGTTATATATCGTTAAGGTGCGGTTTAGGTTTGAAACATTTACACTCTTAAATTTCTGGATAATGTTTCTTATAAATTATAAATTAAATTCTAGGGAATTGGCCCCATCAATATTGAAATCATAATATTTTATGAAAAGAGATATTGTGATGCTGTTATGTGCAATTATCATCTCGACAAAGAACAATGCAAAAGTCTGGAGCCTGCCTTTATCACTTAAATTTTGCACTTAAAGGCCCGACCTGCTTATATGAAACTGAAGTGGTCTTGAGATTTTCACAACTCTTTAACAATAACTAATTTAAATATATTTCTGTTAAATTTTTATACTTAAAATGTGTCAAAGGAATGTCTTTTCAGCTCGGTAATCCATACACATTAACCTATGAATCATTAAAGAACAAATGATTCATACTAAATCTAGTGCTGCGCCTACACAAACAATTTGACTGAGAACCAATAATAAACTGTCTTTTGCTGTTAAAAGTAAAAAAAAATAAAAATCTAACAAAAACTGATCTTGGCTAAATTATTGCATAACCTCACTTAGTATGTTGTGGCTTTAAAACAATCTGAAGAAACTGGCCAAGTGATGAAGAAACGAGGATTATGATATGACTTAAAGCAGATGATTAGCGTCTGCTGATCACAGCTTTAGGAAATAGAAACAAATTGAGCAAAGGCATAGAAAACTGGAACACATATGCATTATGTAGCAGCTGATCTCAGTGTTATGTAAGTTTTCAGCTCTTTGGGACTGACTTTTTAGTGTACAAATGCTGTAATTTTAAAATTACCTCAACGTCTGGGTCCTTTTTAGCCACATCTATAAAATAATGCGGGCTGCTCCTTACTTTTGCAAAGTCCTCCTCGTCATCTGATGTTGTGTAAATGTCAGTCAGACCTCACTAGACGGAATGACTCCATTTCCAAAGCAATGTTTTGGTGTCATGTTTGTTTCACAGCCTGGCTATAGATCCAGGTGGAGGTCGCTGTGTGACAGAGACTGGTAGTGCTCATCCATACCAGACTTGGCTTGATGCCTTTGAGCAACTAGTCTCTGGTAGCGAGCCTGCTGCTGGTGATCAGGGTCCACATTCACCCAGCTGTTGGCCACCCACTTTACTCCTCGCTTGACTGGACAATCACCATGCAGGGAATACTCGTCTAACTCGCCCATCCAACCTGGAGAAACACGGAGGAAACAGCAGCCAAGACGGTTTACTCAAACTTTTTGGTTTATATAACCACCAACATAGATACTAGAAATTAAAAAAGATGCTCATATTTGGATCTACTTTGATTCAGGTCTAAATATGAGCAACATGGGTTAATGATCACACTGTTAAGATTATGTATATAACAAAAGTTTTTTTTTTTTTACCTCTGCCATCAGAGAGATGATTATACCAGAGGAGAGCTGTTCCAGCAGTTGGGGTCAGTCTCAGGTTCCCTTTGCCACAAGCCTGTTGAGTGTCCGTCAAATCAACTCCATCCTGGACCAAAGCCTAAAATACACGTAATCAATAAACTTGAGGTGTCTAAGCTTGGCTGCATTCCATAAAAATGCTTCATACAAACGGATGTACACAAATCCAAATTCACCTGCTCATTGTAAGTACGATTGTCCGCCACAGGAAAGGTACTTTCACCACCGTCCTCAACAGAGCTGAGATAAAATAACACCGTCAAATACCTGAAGAGAAACAAGCAAACAAATAAAACAGAAGAAAAGGAGCACCGATTTCTTAGTGCCTCCGTTTGCAGAAATAGCAACATTTTGAAAGTCAAAGAGCAAATCCAGAACTGAGACGCAAACAGAACGTGAAAAGGAAGTAGTGTACGAGAAGCTGCATACCTGCAGGAGACCTCTGTGAGAGCAGACGTGTTTCCTGCCAGCCGTGTGTGTGCACACGTGGTCTCTGACTGAGACGAGCTGCTATCGTAGTGAGCGTTGGTGAAGTCTCCGTGCTCGTAGCGGGAGACCTGCAGTGGCTCACTTAGTTCCAGAAGTGCAGAGGGCAGACGAGTCAGAGCGATTACTCTGAGTAGGAGACAGGAGGAAACAAAAGAAAAGTGCTCCACTTTAATACAAGCTGTATGTGTGAAACAAAATGGGGGAAGTGTGTACGGGTAGGGACCTTTTCCTGAGGGTTTGCAGAACACGGTGAGATCCCAGCCCCTGAAAGAGCCATGTATGTCTGTTTCTCTGCTTAAAGTGACTGTGCAGGCTCCCGCTTCGCTGTTGCCGTGGACGCTGGGACACATCATAAATGCGCCGAAACTCTCCGAGCGTCAGTATTCCTGCAAGGCACATAGAAAAGTTGAGGTCTCATTAAAAGAGTCTTCCAGTATGCAGGGTTGTGATTCCAGTTCAGTGGAATGAATTCCTGAATTCCTGTTTAGTGAAAACCCTTTCTGGGACCTGGTTTTTAGTAATTTTTTCTTTGTTCAGCCATATGCTTATTCTTCAGCTAAAATTGTCCTGAGTTCCCCTGGGAGACCCGTGTCCCAGTCGCAACAATAGCTCTGGGGTGCCAGAGCAGAGGTGACTAGAGGACAAGGCAGCTGGGGAATACATGGTATCCGGGGGAAAATTAAGAGAAAGGCCTGGCAGACAATCGGGTTTTAATGAGATAGGACGAGGCCCTTCCGGATGTGGAGAACGCCTGGCATGGCACAATGGTATCGGGTCAAAATGGTGTCACCCCTCTTCCTGCCTTAACATTCACAAACACTTGCACGCAACCGCAGCCACAAGTCAGCTATTTACAGTGTCTTTACCAGAACAAAAGCAGGGACCACACACACACACACACACACACGCACACGCGCACACGCACGCACACACACACGCACACACACACACACACACGCACACACACACACACAGACTAATTTCAAGAATCCTGAAAATGTATTCAGAGATCCTATCATGCACCTAGACAAAGGCCAACTGAAGTTCTAAAATTGAATCAACATTAAGTTTTGAAGGTTTCTACATATTTTTACAACAAAACTGCATATTTTTCAGAGTAAAATATCTCACTTCTCAATATTTTTTAAAGCTGAAACAAAAACACGCAAAAAAAAAAATCAGGTCAAGTTTTGAAGTGGAAACAAAAAAAACACACTAAGAGAGTGGATGAGTGGAAAAACAAGAAAATCTGGAAATAAATGTTCACTTATTAGCACTTATCTTCTTTCCCCATAATTATCCAGACATGAAACATTCTTCTATGAAATTCCAGACCTTTCCATTTTGCATAGAAATCCAACTTTTTCTCTACTATCACCCAGAGCACTTAGAAATATGCATATGAATTACAGAAGGACTAACCTGTTGGAGAGGCTTCCAGGCCAGTCAGTATTTGCCGTAAGTTATCAGGGCTTAACCACGTCCCATCTCGAGAACGAGAATGACTCACAATCTAGAAGGGAAACAAAATCATGTGTCTTTTTGCAAAAAAAAAGGCAAAATCATAAATTTACAATTCATAATTTCCATTTTAGAAATGTGCGCTGTTATCCTGCGGATACCTCCTGCTTCTGAAGAAACCCGTCTTGGTTCAGGTCCAACAGACTGAAGACCTCTTCCGTGCTCAGAGAAAGCAGTGGCTGGTTTAACTGTGTTTGATCTTGGCTAGGTGTTGCTGCCTGGCTGTCCATCAGACCTTTGAGCTGGGCCAGCTGTACCACCACACGGCACTCCTCCTCCGATAGGAAACCAGGAATCTCTGCAGAAAAAAACATGAAAACACATCAATAAATGGTATCAGGCAACACAGGCACACACGCGCACACACACTACAAATTTGATGTGAAAGACCAACATAAAGTAGTGCAGATGGAGGGGAAAACACATGGTTTCAAACTTCTTTGCAACTTAAATGCTGAAAATGTGCCACTCGTTTGCATTTACCTCCTCACCTTTTGCTACAATTGCTATAGTCTGGTCTGACTAAAGCAGTTTATGCCATATGTTTATATCTCTAAAGTTTTATTTTGGCACTTACTGCAAAAAAAACAAAACAAAAAACAACAAAAAACAAAAACAAAAGGTAGGAAGGTATAGTAAATATCAGACTATTTCAGAATATTTACATGAAGGTCCTCCTTTAAGGTTTAAGGAGTAAATGAACTGTGCATCTAACGAGTGCAGGTTATTCCCCTCGGTCTGTCTACATTGAGCCACTTGTGGTATAGCCTGTCCCTCAGGCAGCTTTAATGAGTGGCAACATAGAGAAAGGAAGTACCGGTGTCAAGGAAGTAGAAAATGCTAAAATCAATTACCATAATGCAGGAACACAATCTGAATCTGCTATGCTCGTTCTCATTTTGCCTTCATTCATTGTATTGAATGAAGGCACAATAAAGGCCAAAACATTTTTTCCATCTGTTCTAATTTCCAAAATCTTCTCTAGATTGATTGGCAGTCGAGTCTTAAACATGCATATTGTTACTAAATGCACGTAGTTATGATGTACTGTTTAATAATTTGTCTTTTCTCTGCTGCAGTCCATCTGTGTCTTCCTGCCGTGACCCTTCGGATAAAGAGCTTCCGGCAGGTTGGTTGCTTGTACAGTACAAGCCTTGTTTGGCAACCGTATCTTTTATACTGTACCCTTGGTTAATCCCCATTGTCCAGTCAAGCCTCATTAATCTGGACAACTGATATGAATGAAGAGGGACCGAGGCTTCCTCTTCTCCCCCCCATGGCTGTCTGTCTTTCTCCCCCGGAAAGGAAGTGACCTGCTTGTCAGAGCAGGAATCAGGCCATGGCGACGCAGTGGGACATTTTGTTTATATCCTCTGCACATGCTCACACATGTAGAGCTGCCCATACAGAGTTCAGTTGTTGTTAACTTGGTCAATAATTACCTCGGGCTCTGAGGAAATCATTGTCTCCAATATTACCGGCATTTTAATCATTCAGCGTACAGAGTTACATGAACTTATTCAGATTAGAAATCTTCTCTGCAGTCCTGAGTCAAAGCTAGGTGCCTATAGAAAGAGTAAAGGAAATTCTCTACCAAAGACTGAATGTGGCCCTTGATTTAAAGTGTAAAGAAAAGAAGAAGAAAAATAGACAAGATCAATTTAAAAGTTGTTTATAAAAACATCACCTTACAAAACCTCAAATCTGACAATATTAAATTTACTCAATAAATTAATGCACCTCTCTCCTGGCACCCCGTCCCTACCTCCTACAGCACTCTACACCTCCCCTTTTCTGCTTCTATGCAAATCTGTTCACCACCCACTATAAATACATCCATTCTGACAACATCCCCTCCACTTTAACCAAGAGATCATCGTCACTTCTTGATTCCCCGCCCCCGTTTTAACTTTCTGACGACAATGTTCTCCCAGTTAGCTTCTTTGCTCCTTCTCCTCATACTTGCTGGGTCCAGCAAACCGGTGAGTGTACGCAGAGGTCAAGCACAGCTGGACGGACATATCAGGACAGAAGACGCACTTCAATCTGTGTTTAAGGACAAGGGCCGAGACCTGACAAGTGTGGACAGCAGGAAAGAAGATGTATTTGGAGATTCTCCTTCTTCAAAGGAAGAAATCGCAGCGGCAGCAGAAGATGGAGAAGCGTGGGGAGAGCATGGTGCTCCGTCTAACTTCAGATCCACACACTTAATAAGCGACGGTAAACTGTGGGATCCCCGCTTCTCTTCTCGATGTGTGCCAATCCCTTCCACCATGGCCTTGTGCCACAACATTGGCTATGACACCATGCGGATCCCGAACCTCCTAGGCCATGATTCCCCAGCTGAGGCTGTCCAGCAGAGCGCCAGCTGGTTGCCACTGTTGGCCAGAGAGTGCCATCCAGACGCTCGCATTTTCCTCTGCTCTCTTTTTGCTCCGATCTGCCTAGACAGGTATGTTTTGTTTCCACAAAGTAGAATAGAATGTGTCAAAAAAATAAAAAACCTGACTCAAAAGACTGTGGCGTTCTTATTTTCGTCATTTCTTAGAGCCATTATCAATGCAGCAAATCGCACCTTAGAATAAGAGTTTCTAGAGGGAAAACAAAGCTGGAGAAAGAACACTTTTTTCAACCGACACCGACAGGGTCATCAACAGATAACACAATTTAGAAATGATGATAATTGGTGCTAATCTCAGAAAAAAATGCTGTGGTTTCACACAGAAAGTTTAGTTAATCACAGGACAATCGTCTCCTTTTTTTTTATCACATTAGCATATTTTAGCTGGGTGGTGTGTATTCCTAAATCTATTTAAAACCTTTCTTCTAATCACTGCTGTCCATTTCCCTCTCCATGCCGTCTTTGACAGGTTTATCTCCCCCTGCAGAAGTTTGTGTGAATCTGTGCAGGGCAGCTGTGCGCCAATCATGAGTTGCTACGGCTACCCCTGGCCTGAAATCCTGCGGTGTGACCAGTATCCTGCAGACCACCTCGTGTGCATCTCCTCCATCACCAACGCAACTGCTTACACGGGGGCGCGCGGAGGTGAGCGACCGCACACGTGTGATTGAGTCGAGTTCATTAAACCAATTATTCAATTGGTGGTTTAACGGTTTCAGTGCCTCAGGCAAGCTGTCGGGACTGTGAGCTGGAGGAGGCCTCCTCCCCAAAAGAGACACTGGAGAACTTCTGTAGGAGTGATTTTGGTGAGTGCCGACATGTCTCGTCCAACAAAAACACTCCACTTCTTTTATTGAAAACAGAAGTCAATATTGCATCTCTGTTCATCTATTATCCTCCCAGTTGTGAAGCTGCGTCTGACAAGGCTTAGGTATAGTCCAGTAAGTCTATCTCAGTTCTCCTTGGCTGCCAAGCTGGACGTCTTAAAGCGTGGGTCTCTACTAGGTGGGCAGATTCGCTCACGCATTGAACTGTGGCTAGAGAGAGATGCCACATGCGTTCGGAACATGACCCGACAGCATCCACGAGGCGGCACCTTCCTAGTAACCGGGACAGTCCAGGGGGAACGCCTGGTGGTCAATAAGGCTTACGCTTGGCAAAGAGAAGACAGAAGCCTCACTGCAGCTGTGCGCAAGTGGAAAAGTCACAGGTGCAGGAACTAACAACTTGCAGAATCTTAAAACATTCTGAGTGTGAGATCAACCGAGCAGGGCGGATAGTTTAGAAGCTTGCCATAAAGCTGCAGCTTTAAATATTTGTCCGACTTTTTAAAAGGAATTCAAAGCAGGTTAGAACTGAAAAATGATAGTTACGGCACATTCAGGATTGAGAAACTGTCACTACGACAGCTGAGCATAAAAGATGATGGGAAAATGATAGAAAATAAAATGTAAATACTGTGTTTCTAAACTTGAACTTAATGTTGCTGGTTTATATATTTCTAATTCATTTCCTTTTTGAGTTTTCTTTCTATCTAAATCTGCTTATTGTATTTTCTAATTAATAATGGTGAAGCAAAAATTCTATCCGTTTCATTCTTTTTATATTTCTGAAGGTTGTTGTTGAATTATGAAAAAATGCATCCAGTGTGTTATTTGACTACATTTTGTTAAATAAATATTGCAGCATCGTTTCTGTCACTTTAACTTTGTTTCATCATTTTGAACAAAATAAACCATATTTCTAAAAACGTCAGGTTTACTTATGGGGAAATGCAGTTTCATCTGAAATGTAACTTCCACATATTTTTTTTTTTCTGAGCCTAACAGCAGTCATGTCTATTATAATCTGGATGGTCACTGCCTTCTGAGTACTAAAGATAGAACAACTTTTCTTAAAAACCTGTTTAGGGATCTACAAAAGTGGCACATTTAATTATTTTCTGTTCTACTTTGTTGTTATTTGGGGGAAATTCCTTTTTTCTTTGAAAAGCATTCATAGTGTGTTTCATAGCTGCCATGTACACTCAAGGTACCCTCTCATACAGGGTTTCTAGGCGTTCTGTCAAACTGGTTATATCAGGTACATCTTGCTAATGTTGCAGACGCCTCAAGTGGCTGCAGGACAGTTGATGTTTTCAAATCAAAGAATGTGAACCACTCTTTGTGAATAAATAGCAACACATAATGCAACCGAGTTTTTCCACAGATGGCAGGTCTCATTCAAGTATTACAATTTACTTACCAAACAGCAAAGGTTTCAGACTGAGTGTTCTCATCTCGTGTGTTCTGTCCGGTACTACAGACACATGTTGAACATGTCCAACCTGGAGAGGCACAGAACATAGTTTTAATGTAGAAATAGTGAGGAACTGCATCTGCAAAACAATATGGGCTATTTTTTTTCTATTTATGTGTAATCTATATGTTGCTTGATATATGGACATGCTGCAAAATAATTTTCCATTGGGAAAAATAACATTACTACTACCATTGAACTCTGCAAATGATTTAGCAGTTCTCTTGTAAGTACTTACTGTATAAAATACTCACTCTCGAGCAGTACTGTCTCATATTACATTTGTGATCAGTGTTGCGAAGAATCAAATAAGGACATTTAAGTTCTTATAAATTACACCAAAGATCTTACTCGTATCCCCTCCATACGATGTAGGCTGAAACTCTGACTGTATTCCTCCACATGTAACTCTCTCCCTGATGGAGCAGGTTGGGGCAAGCGCCTGTCCGTGTTGATGACTGGAGCAGGGGACGCCCCGTCTCCACTTACTAAATCCCCGGGGCCGTTGTTGTAGTGCACGTAGAGTAGTAGGGCGATGACATTCAAGATGTAAACATGGAAGAAGACCATGACCACCACGAAATAAGCCCGAGAGCAAACATTGCTTCTCTGTATGTGCAGCCGAGTAGATCGAAGACGAGGAATATTGTAAGGTGGTGACAACGGCTTCTGGCTGATGTCTTCGTGTTCCAATAAATCTTCTTGAGCTTCGTCCATCATTTACAACACACGGTTAGATATTATTTTAAAGTGTTTACAGTGTAAAGTAAAAACACAAACCAGCCAAGCTTGAGCTACCTTGTAAAATGCTAGCTAGCTATTTACATTAGCATACTTGGGCTGTTCAGCTAGCTACAGAGTTAGCCCCATTGCAAACTTCTGTTTTTTTTTGTTTGGTTTTTTTCAAGAAAAAACGACACTATTGTGTCTGCTACTGTTACCCGACGAATCAGGACAGCATCGATTGAATAACCAAGTGCAGTGACAATCGTTTTCTTTAATAAATACATGTGTCGTCATTATATAAAAGCTCCTAATCCCGTTCTAGCTAACTGACAGCTGCGCTGCCCCTGACAACCTGCCTAACAACAAGATAGTCCGCGATATTCGTTGTTCATGAGCTCCTGTAAAGTGTTAGCGACCTCTACCGGGCAGTGCCCAATATCAAGGTATGTTTAAATGATATTTCCTCTAAATTTAACATTTTAGAAGAAGGAAAGCATTGTTGGATGATTTTTTTTAAGTTTAAAAAGTGTGTTCGCAGAATTCTGAAACGCACGTACCAATTTGTTAAGTGATTCTGTGGAATGCTCTGAGGTCTGCAACTTGTATAAACTAAAAAGCTATTTTTGCTCTCAGTGCAGCTAAATGAACGCCAATCAGAGCCACAAACGTTATACCTGACTATTTGAAAAAAGACAACGTATAATTTTTTTTTCTAAAATATATCTAACGTAGGAAATGTGCTGTGATTTTTAAAAGAGTCACCATCTTATTTTTGTTTCTTCAATAAGAAAAACACAAAACTTTAGGAAAAAGAGGATTGGAACGTTTTTATTCCATAGGATGCCGATATGTGTGAGCAAAAGGCATATGGATTCAACATGTCAAGAAAAATTTGTGTAAACATGTGGTACTTGTCATTCTGTTGTGGGAAAGCTGCTAAAACCACTATTTGTCATCTATATATATTTAAAAACAATTGTCAGTCGTTTATCATTTTTATCCAAAGTTATAAAGAGTCATTGAGAAAGGTCTAAGGAGCCACTTGCGTCTAAGGAGCTGCAGGTTGCAGACCCCAGCCTGGACGAAGAAATTAAATAAAATATATTAATAGTTTAAGAAAAATATACATCATTATTGATGATAATAATGATTATTATATAATCATGAAGACAGATTTAACCTTTTGATTCTAGATATCTAATAATGCAAACACAACACATTTCTCTTATTTAGCCGCAAGGTGGCGACAAAAACACATGTCAGAGACTCCCAACTGTGCTGTGTCATTTGTGATAGCCGACGTATATGTCGGCTGCCGGGTAATACTCATAAAGATTATTTCTTTCACAAAAGCAGCAATAAGGAAATGTTGCAATCGACACATTGCAGGTGTATGAACCCAATTTCAAAAAAGAATGGAAACATTCAACTTGCTCAAAGTATACCGTAAATATGTAAAATATTCATACCATATGTGCACCATCAACACAGAAGGGAAACAATCAAAAGTTTAAAATCTTTTGAGTTGGTTTTTAATGGGGCAGACGAAAGGTGACAGCTGCTGTCTATTTATTACCAACGCCAGCTAACGAGTTTTGGATCATAGTATTTAATTTCCATAATTGCCATGCATTATTTACTCGAATTTTCTCAGCGGTGCACATTTAAATACAGACCAGTTTGGATAATGAAGGCTAATTTCCCCTGGTGATGTTGCCCCTCAAATTATTCCATCTGATTCTACTTTTTTAAGACAGAGGGGATAGAATTGGGGGTGGATGTGAAAGGGTCTAATACACTCTCCCTTAAACACACACACACACACACACGCAGGCACACGCAAACCCCTTGCGGTGTTTTCCGGGATCACGCCACTGCTTCCACTTGGGATCCACACAGCAGCAGCGATATGACTGATCATCACCGGACGGGACGGCACTGAATATCAGCCAAAGTTTGACCTGAATTATGGTTTATTACTGATTAACGATGCACTTTGTCGGGGCACGGGACGCTGCCACACGTCGACCGACGCTGGGCTAGGAATTACCGGACGGGGGAACGATTAGTTTGGGGATTTTTTTTATTTTTTTTTTTTTACAGCAAAGTAGTTGGAGGAACTTGTCGCAGTGGCTCCAGTCCCAGTGTGTTGCCTGGATTACCACATACAAGCGGAACAATAGTCTCCTGCGGCAGGAACACGAGCAGGTCGGTGTGGTTTGTTTATGTTGGGCCCTGTCCTCACTGCCTGTTTTAACTAGTCAAGATGATGTGGAAATAACAAGCACAGAAACCATTTCTGTCGCCCTCCCCCTCACTGACTTTGCAGGTGTATGCTCATTATTAGACTCGCTGAAAGAAATGGTGTAACCCTGCGTAAGCGGTTGTGTATGTCTAATGCGGATAGTTTGGCGCTCTCCTTAAATCACAACAGAAATGGGAATCGCTTTAAATTAGTCGCACCATTGAGAGATTTCGATAAATGGCGATACTGTTGAGTACAGCAGTCCAAACCCAGTCAAAGTCCCCGGAGGATTATGTTTTTAAAAACCCGGTTTTTTTTTTTTTTTTTTTTTTTTTTTTTACTTTCGTAAAGTGTTTCCTATTTCAATACAAAGTCTCAGGGTTTTCCCTGCTCCTGTTTCCTGAATTGTTTCGGCCGGCGGCAGGGTAACTTTTTCTCTGCCCTGCCTGATTCTCCTCCTCCCGGATACTTGCGTCAGGAAAACACGGGGAGAGAGAAACTGACCGAAAGCACTGAAGGCCTGGAAGGTAGAGGAATCTCTGCCAGCCCGGGCTAAGGTGAAAACTTGAAAAGCTGGGTTCGGTTTCTGGCTTTGCTCCTAACTCTCCGCGCTTCCTCCGGTCACGTCATGTTACCCGGAGATCACCGGGACATGCGCTCCCAAATGTGACGGGCTGTCCAGTGCTGCAGTCCTGCGGTTCTTCCAATAACATCGGTAATAAGCCCTTATACACTTCAAAAACGGCCATGGTTGTATAATTATGCAGTTTGCGTGGGTCAGAGCAACAACAAAATGTTTGCAGTGTGTTGGGAGTATCATTTAGCGGTAAATAATTGATATCAGTCCCAGTGTGGGATGCACAGATTGAAAGTAATGCCTCCCACATTAGTTCACTCGTCCTTGATGAACCTCCAAAATGTTGAACCCGAAATCCCAAAATAGTGGCTGTATCTGAAAGCTTTGAGTTTTGTTTTTTATTCCATTATAATTTCGTACATATCCCTATTTTATTGTTTTTGTGTGTGTGTGTGTGTGTTAATATCAGAAATATATTTTTTTTTGTAAATGTACACTGCACTGACAAAACAAGCAGTTTGAATTTAATTGAATTAATTTGAACATTCTGCCTGGCTTTATTTGAATCAGTTTTTTTGAGTACTTGAGTACACCCTTGAAAGCTAAAAGACACTTAATTTAAATACCTTATGTACTTAGTCAAATAAATTACTTAAATTCTTGCTTATATTTGATATAATATTGCTCATTTCATTACTTATCTTACATAAGAAAATATACATACATAGTTTGTGATTAAAGTATAAAATGTTACTGAAATAGCTATGTATACATTTTTAAAATCTTTTCCAACAAGATGGCATGGTACATATCCTTACAACTACAGTGAAGATCTGCTGTTCAGTGACAAGGAACGCTTCAGGGGCACAAGGTTTAGCTAGCTTAGCTTAGCATCAGCGTAGAGCTTGATGATATGGCAGAAAAATGTGTCATGACATAAGGGTTTTATATCAGTCATCGATATTTTCTGTTTCATCCTCAGCTCTAAAGCTTCATCAGCTCTGTCGCTAAACGACTTAAAAGTGAAATTTAACCCTAAAATTCTTACTGGAGTACAGAAACTTTCTTAATTGTAAATCTTGTTACAATTTCCAAGTTTTGGTCAGTTTATATGCCTTCATTATGGAGTCCATTAAACATATCAACCTCACTGTTCACCCAACACTGCAAATGAATTATTACTATAAACTGTTGTTAGAATTGAATAATTTAATGTTACATTTGCCAACTATAAAATGGCTGATGAAAGAAAGAAAGAAAATTAAATGGTTGATATTCTATACTCTCCAAAACTAACTTTTAGAGCGTAATCTAGTTTCACTTCACATCATTTTTATCTAGTAAGAATCATTGCAGTCATCAAATATGCCTTTACCAAGCAAGATGTGTTAACCATAAAAATAATGATAATAAGATGTACAGTGGACTCCTGGTACTATCAGGAGTTAGAGACAGCTGAAATTCTTGAGATCGCCTCTAAAAACACAAACAAAATTCAATTTTATTAAAATGTTATGTAATAGACTATGGACCAGGGCTTCACAGTTTTGGTAGCACTGTTACCTTGCAGCAGGAAGACCCCAGGTTTGAATCCTAGCCTGGGGTCTCTTCTGTGTGGGGTTTGCATGTTCCCTCCCTGTGTGGGTTTCCTGTGAGTGCTCTAACTTCCTTCTTCCAAAATCATCACTATTATGCTAATTGGTCTCTCTTGCTTAGGTATAGTTCTGTGTCTGCATGGTTATTTGACCATTGTGTGTCTGTGTGTCACCCTGTGATGGACTGAATGTGCAAGAATCTCTGCTTCCGGATGTGCAAAGCTGGTGGAGACAAAGTCCAAAACACAAGCAGTGGAAAGTGCAGCAATATTGTTACTATAAAGTAAGAAAGAATACTTCTGTAAAGCACAGAATGTGGAGTAATTATCTTATTTGTTCCCAATGTATCTTCTGGTTTGTGAGCACAAAATGTGAAGGCGAATGTAACAATGTTTCAGTTTGTGTACTTCTACATGTTTGTGCTGGAAAATGTGTCTATTTTCCAGCACACCTGATTCAAATAATTACATGACTTCCTCTGCAGCCATCAAATCCTGCAGAAGCCTCTCTTAATCACCCATTCATTTATATGTTTAGAAGGAAGGATACACTTGTAATGTGTAGGTCAGGGGTAGTTGAGGACCAATTTTGGGAACCAC